CGAATCCTCTTAATGAGGGGTCTTCCTCTTTTTATAGTGAGGTGAGTGCAAGTAATCATTAGTAAATCCTGGTTGGTGTGAATGTCAAGATTAAATCCGGCTTTATTTCACATTTCCACCTTCCAAACTGATTTCACCGATTTGGAGTAGGGAAAGGGACACGTGGGAGCTCTGTAGCTATGGCAGGCCTGACGTGTGCTTATCGTTCTGACAGGAGCAGGTCACCCCCCATCACGTGATTTCCTACGTCAGCCCTTGATTTTCCAGGAGTAACAGACTGATCAAAGATCCAGACTCGCCCTCATAAGTGCTTCGTTTTCAACTTCATCGTACAAGTCTCTCCGAAGAGAACCAGTTCCTACCTCCGCGGGAATCATTGCTTCGCAGCCATAAGCTAGCGAAAAGGGCGTCTCTGAGGTAGAGGTTCTTGGAGTTGTCCTGTATGCCCATAGGACTTCGGGGAGATCGTCGGCCCAATTTCCCTTGGCCGCCCCAAGCTTGGCTTTTAGAGTGTGCTTGATAGTCTTGTTGACAGCTTCAACTTGGCCATTTGCTTGCGGTCTGGCGACTGAGACAAATTTTTTATGAATGCCCAGCTCGTCGCAGAAGAACTTGAACTCCTCGTTGTCGAATTGTTTCCCATTATCCGAAATGAGGGTGTGAGGAATTCCGTAGCGGCACACTATGTTCTTGAAAACGAAGTCTTTCAGCTTTCTGATCGTGATCGCGGCCAGTGGTTCAGCTTCCACCCATTTCGTGAAATAATCTACCGCGAATATAGCATATTTAACTCCTCCCTTTCCGACCGGTATGGGGCCGATGAGGTCGATCCCCCACATAGAGAATGGCCAGGGGCTAGACATCGTTACCAGTTCGTGAGAGGGGGCTCGCAGAATGTTTGCGAACCTCTGACACTTATCACACCTCTTGACAAAATTGTGGGTATCTTCTTGGATCTGGGGCCAATAATATCCTTGGCGAACAACCTTGTTCGCGAGAGATCGTGCGGCGGTGTGATTACCGCATATCCCTTCATGGATTTCTCTCATGATATAATATGCCTCTTCGCTGATCACACATCGGAGGAAAGGGGCACTGAATCCCCTCTTGTATAGCTGATCCCCGATGAGCGTGTAACGAACAGATCTTGTTCGCAGGACCCGTGCCTCGATCTTGTCATCGGGCAAGATCCCATCCTTGAGATACCTGTAAACGGGCGTCATCCAGGAGTTTGGTTGTATTATATTCACGGCTTGTTCAGTTGAACTCATGCTCGAGGTCTCGATAAACCGAACAGGAATGCTATCAGGTGCCTCAGAGTCCAACGACGAGGCTATTTTTGCCAAGGCGTCAGCCACAGAGTTGCTATCTCTGGGGATCTGAGTGATCGTGAAATGCTTGAACTGCTCGAGCGCTGTCTTGGCTTCTTTTAGGTAGCGGACCATGTTCTCTTCCTTGGCTTGGTATTCTCCCAGGATTTGGTTGACGACCAAAATAGAGTCGCTGTGAACGCTGATTGTGGTTGCGCCCATTTCTCTGGCCAACCGTAATCTGGCGAGCAGAGCTTCGTACTCAGCTTCGTTGTTGGTCGCCTTGAATTCGAACCCTAGGATACCGTGAATGCGAGCCCCTTCGGGACTCAACAGGAGGAGGCCTGCTCCTGCCCTTTTTCGAGTCAATGATCTGTCGACATAGAGGTTCGAGGTTGATAGGTTCTGGATGCTCTCTTGGATGACTTCACTGGGCTGTTGGTCTGACTTATTCTGGAGATAGGAGAATTCTGAAATAAAGTCGGCGATAGCTTGCCCTTTGATGGTCGACCTGGGCTTGTACTTCAGGTCGAACTGGCTTAATTCTATTGCCCATTTGAGCAGTTTACCCGAGGCTTCTGGCTTCTGAAGGACCTACCTGAGGGGGTAATTAATCATTACATGGATTGTATGGGCATAGAAGTAAGGTCGTAGCTTTCTGGAAGCGATCAGTAGAGCATAAGCTAACCGTTCCATTTCAGGATACCGCATCTCGGCATCCGACAGATGCTTGCTCGCGTAGTAGACAGGCCATTGAACTTTCTCTTCTTCTCGAACTAGGGCTGCACTGACCACAGACTGCGAGACAGATAGGTACAGAGGCAAAATCTCTTGTGGGTGAGGCTTAGAGAGGAGAGGTGGCTTCCCGAGGTGTTCTTTTATACTTTGGAACGCCTGTTCACATTCGGGAGTCCATTCGAACTTCTTATTGGCTTTCAAAACATTGAAAAATGGCAAACAACGATTTGTTAGTCTCGATATGAAGCGGCTTAGTGCTGCTATTTGCCCATTTAGGCTCATGACCTGCTTTTTGCTGGTCAGGCTCTCCATATCGAGCAGAGCTTGAACCTTCTCGGGGTTTATTTCTATCCCTCGCTGATTAACCATGTATCCCAAGAACTTTCCTGATGATACCCCGAATGAACACTTGAGAGGATTCAGTTTCATTCTGTAGAGCCGGAGGATGTCAAACATCTCAGTGAGATGTCCTATGTGTTCTAAGGCGACCTGGGATTTGACCAGCATGTCGTCCACATAGACCTCCATTGTTCTTCCGATCTGGTTAGAGAACATTCGGTTAACCAGCCGCTGGTAGGTTGCGCTAGTATTCTTGAGGCCGAAAGGCATAACTTTGTAACAGTACAGCCCCCGGTCTGTAATGAAGGACGTGTGTTCCTCGTCTGGGCCATACATAGGGATCTGATTGTATGCCGAGTATGCATCCATGAAACTTAGCAGCTCGTGCCCCGAGGTGGCATCCACGAGCTGGTCGATTCTCGACAGAGGGAAGCTGTCTTTCGGGCAAGCCTTGTTGAGGTCGCTAAAATCAACGCATGTCCGCCATTTTCCGTTTGGCTTCTTTATCAAGACCGGGTTGGCAACCCACGTCGGGTAGAGTGCATCTCGGATGGATCCGCTTCGGAGGAGGTTTTTCGCTTCTGACTTCAATGCAGTATACTGCTCCGGATCCGTTGTTCTTCTTTTTTGGAACTGGCTTGGCCTCGCTGTCGATGTTTAACGCATGGCAAATAATGTCCGGGCTGATCCCGACCATATCTACATGCGACCAGGCAAACACGTCGACGTTTTCCCTGAGGAAACCTGTCAGTTCGTTAGCGAGCTGGGGGTTGAGATTTTTACCGACTCTTAACACCCTGCTCGGCTCTTTCTGGTCGACCTGGACTTCAATTAGGTCCTCAACTGGCCCACTGGAAGGGCAGTCTTGAATGCGAGGGTCTAGGTTGTCCTCAACCGGGCCAGGTCGTGGATCGATCCTGTTGATCGCCATGGCCTGGCGAGGTGCATTTCATGGAATGCCCTTTCCTTTGTGCGCCATCTGGACTGCCTTTACATAGCAGTCGCGCGATGCGCATTGAGAACCGCTGACTTCCCCGATCCCCGTCGGGGTGGGGAACATCATTTTCAGATGGTAAATTGAAGTGACCGCCTTGAACTGTCTTAGTAGAGGTCGCCCAAGGATCCCGTTAAAGGCTGACGGGCAGTCCACCACTAAGAATTCAATCATTCTGGTCACTTCGTCAAAATCGCCCAGCGTGACTGGGAGTGAGATTGTTTCTTTGGGGAGTAGATGGTTTCCTGTGAATCCATATAATGGGAACGAGGCAGGCTTCAGGTCGGCCTCGTCCAAATTCATCCTTTCGAAGGTAGATGCAAACAGGATATTCACAGCACTCCCGTTATCCACCAGCATTCTCTGGGTGTTATAGCACCCTATCAGGGGAGTGATTACAAGGGCGCCATCGTGGGGACGGTATAACCTGGCCGCATCCTGTTCGGAGAAGGAAATCTCTTCCTCCTGGCGAACCTTTTATGGTCGCCGATCCGCACTCATTACTCTAATGGGGTCGTGATGAGCTTCACGAGCATACATTTCTTGGGCACCTCGTGAATTTCCAGCGAAGTGTGGTCCCTCGAAAATCAAGTTGAGACCGAGCACCCCTTTTTTATCATGACGCTTCTTCCTTGGCTCCCCCCGATCTTTTTCTTTCGAGGGAGCGGAGTCATCGATGTATTCCTTGAAATGCCCCTTCTTGATAAGTTCTTCGATTGCTTGTTTCAGGGCTCGGCACTCGTCAATATGGTGCCCATTGTCCCGATGATAGCGACAGTACTTTTTATTATTTCTGGCTATCACAGGGGTTTTCATGGGTTCGGGTTCTCCGAGCAGACTGGCTTCTTTGGATTTATCAAGGATGGCAGATACAGAGGCGTTCAGCGGAGTATATTGGGGCCTATCGCGGTCACGACGAGGAACCGGGGCATAGGATTTCTTGTGCTCATAGCGGGGTTTCTTTCCTTTTCGCTGATCGTCAATGTCTCCTTTGCGATCAGCTCTTCTACCTTCTCCCTGACCAGACATACTGCCCGAAGATCCGTGATCGCGACATCGTAGTGCCGCCAATGAATTCTCTATGCGGAGGTACTTTTCCGCGAGGTTATAGAATCTGGTGAGGGAAACATCGTCCTCAGCCTGTAATTCTTTCCATAGGTCGGTTTGCAGGCGAACTCCGGCTATTATGAGAGTTCGCATTGACTCTTCGGGGGCGTGAGCCACCTTGTTAAGTTCCCTGTGGAAACGGTCGATATCAGATTGTAGGGACTCGTCCCTTTCTTGCCTTATATTGCTGCGATAGCTCAAAGGCATCGAGAACTTCCGATTTGCTTAGAAATGCCGTAGGAACGTCGTGCTCATCTGAGGCCACGAACTGATCGTTCCAACTGGGAGCGACCTTAGCCACCGCTTGGCATGAAAGGTTAGAGTCACAGCCAGGCAACGACATTTTGCAAGATCCGAAAACTGGTGGAGCTCCATCAGGTCATTGAACTCCATCAGGTCATTGAACTCATACAAATGATCCTGCGGGTCATGGTTCCCATCGAACGGCTGCATGTCGGGCATTCTGAAACCTGGTGGGAGTGGAGCGGCTAACACTTAGGGAGAGAAAGGGGATGCAGAGGCGACCTGGGCCTACTCGTTCTGCTGCTCTCTCAACCTGTCTAGAGCTCGCTGCAACTCCTCAATTTGCAGTAACGGAGCCAGTTGGGGATTGCTTTCACCCACGCGAGTCTGGCCCTCGCGATTACGATTCAGGAGAGTCCAGAGGTCGGACTCCTCTTCGCCTCGATCGACGTTTTCGGCCGCTCTCGACACATGCTGGCTGGAGGCGTGTGAAGGCAGTGGATGGTGCGGGGTATTTTCACGATCCTCACGGTGGTACAAACCGCCCCGCGAGGTGTAAGGACCACCCTTATGATAGCGATCAGGATCGTTCTGCTGGCGGTGATAAGAATCGCCCCGCCCAGCACTTTTGTTTGGGTTCACCTGCGACGTGGCATGGGACAGCTCGGGATTTATTTTTTTGCCGAGTCTCAGTTTTGTCGGCACCCTGCTCGGGGCACGGTTTGTGTTCGCTGGCCCTTTGGAGCCTGTAGGCTTGCTTTTTGCCACTTGCTTACCCTTACGTCTACGCGCTGCAGTGCTCGCGGCACGGGCTATTTCCCTTTGCCGCGCTTTCGCGCGACCTGCAGGCATTCTTGGCGATTGCACCGCCCCAACTGTTCTAGAGGGCACGCCTTGGTCCAGACGGTCCAACCTTTGGTTGACCGTCTGGAGAGTATTGTCGAACCTCTCCAGGTAGCCTTTGATGGCGGGGTCAAGCTGCGAAGTTGCTGGGATATCCACCGCAGCAATTTGTGGGGATGGAAGTATTCTGGAAGGGGTATCCCCTTGGGTCTGGGGAACTCCCTCAACGCGCTGGTTAGCTTGAGTTCAGATTGGCGGGCCATCTGTTGCTGTAGGACCAGTAGGTTAGAGATTCTCCTGATGAAAGATGAACACTAAATCTGGGCCCTCCTTCTAGCGTCAAACTGTTGATGCGTGATTTTTGGCACCAACTAATTGACACGTGTGTAACGTTGATTGATTAAGGGACACACGTGATTATGAGTAAAATGTAGAGTAAATGCAATGAGAACTTTTTAAAGTGGTTCGGATGCTAAGGTAGTAAGTCCTACGTCCACTGATTTGTATTAATATAGTGGGTCAGGTCGCAACAGCGGACTGACTTACAAATGATTGGCAAAGAAAAGTAAATACAAAGCTATCAGAGAGAGAGAGCTAATTTCCAGTGTAAAAATAGCCGAATCCTCTTAATGAAGGGGTCTTCCTCTTTTTATAGTGAGGTGAGTGCAAGTAATCATTAGTAAATCCATGGATTGGTGTGAATGTCAAGATTAAATCCGGCTTTATTTCACATTTCCCACCTTCCAAACTGATTTCACGCGATTTGGAGTAGGGAAAGGGACACGTGGGAGCTCTGTAGCTATTGGCAGGCCTGACGTGTGCTTATCGTTCTGACAGGAGCAGGTCACCCCCCATCACGTGATTTCCTACGTCAGCCCTTGATTTTCCAGGAGTAACAGACTGTATCAGACATTGGTGCATGCTCAGATTTATGATCATGTCTAGACATTAAGTTTTAATTTATAAATTTAAATCATATCCTATCATGTCAGCAACCAACAAATTAATCAACTGATGGCTTCCTGGTGAATGGTTTCACTGTATCACTTGGGACTTAGAAGAATGACAATTTTCCACGAGTAATGCTAGCCTTACTCATTCTCCTTACTCACTTCTCTTACTCACCTTTGTTAAAATGTTAGTTTTATCCACTTTTCACTTTTTTAACAAAGGTGAGTAAGAGAAGCGAATAACGAGAGTGAGTAAGGCTAGCATTATTCATTTTCCACCACTTAAGGTTAGGCGTAAATAATTTTTCCCATTGAAAGGTTTAAAAAAAAACAATTTTTCCACCCATTGTTAAAAGTCAACATTATTTTTAACGGTAAAAGGGCATTCTTGTCGGTTTGCACACAATAAATTATAGGGTTAATATTTTACAGCCCTAAATTACAAATGCATAACAATTATATTCACCAACTTGGGAATTAACCATTTAAACCCCCATCTCCAATTTCATTTTTTTATTTATTTAACTTCTAAAAAAAATCTATGAAGAATAAAAACTGGCCAACATGTACGTTGGCCAACTGTCATCAGCAGAATATGGGTTAAGTCTCTGACGACAAGTCCGACCACATCGTCAGTGTCGTTGGATAGATTGACCTACGATCTATCCAATGACATCGACTTTCGCTGGCAACTGTGGCCAGCGAGTCCACAGTTTATTTTAAATAATTGAGTTTGTTTTTTAAATTTATTAACCCTAAAATTAATATAAACTAAATTAGGAGTGAAAAATATATTTAATAAAGTTTGGGTGGAAAAATATTATTCAACCTCATTCGAAATTATAAAGTCAACTAGTAAAAGGTATTATAGTCTTTTCGTAGCTTTAAACATGTCAGGTAATATATCTCACTAAAGGAATCTTATCGATGGGTGGGAAATTATGTTTTTGAAACCTTTTGGGTAGAATTTAGTAATGTCTAACCTTGGGCGAGAAATTGTAATTCTCCCTATCACGTAACCCGAAAGGTTGTGCATTAATCATCAGTTCAAACAGACAACTAAAATGGTTAGATTTGAGACTCCGAGAAATTATGACCCATGGAGCAATCACTTGAAGTTGAAGACGCTTGGTCAAGAATAGTTATGGGCTTATGGCCTACTTCTGGATGAACTTTAATATGTAAAGAGTGAAATCAGAAGCCAGATATTGAATGCCCTTTATTGATTTTTATTTAGTGGTTGATGCCCTTATTTAACTGCTGTTGATATAAAGAGTCTTGTTACTCAGTGGAAAAACATACAAGCTCAACACAAGAAACAAAAGCACAGCTATGGAGTCATCAAGATAGTAGCTGCCGAAGAAGAACCAGTGCCTGTGCCTGTGAGCCCTATTGCGCAATATTTCAATAGCTCAGTGTTGTCCATTGTCGTTATTGGTGTTCTGGAAACAGAAGTGCCCATTGATGACTCCCAAACTATCCCATTGCTAAAAAATATGCTCCTCCCCATTAACCCGCGCTTTTCGTCCATCATGGTAATGCCTATATACGTGTGTGAGAGTTTATTATAGCTAATTTTCTATTATAAACTAAAAGGCCCCATAGCTCTCATTGTTAAATATTTGTTCTCCGAACAATAAATGACTCTTAAAGAATTTTATGCTTTGCCGTTGAAAGAAATATAGTTGTTTCTCTATTCTAGTCAAATCCTGATAACTCTTCATAAAGTGCTTTTGCTAAACAATTTATGAATTATGATTTATTGTTATCATACGTTGAAGTAGTGTGGAACACTTCTTAAACAGGTTGACACAAATGGAGTTAAACAATGGAAGAAGGTTGAAGTGCAGCTAAAAGACCACGTAAAAGTTCCTATTTTCCCAGCAGAAATGACACCAGAATTTTACGAAAAATGCCAGCATGACTATATCTCAAAAATAGGCATAGAACCGCTTTCACAGCACCGACCTTTATGGGAAATTCACCTCTTTAAATACCCAACATGCAATGCAGCTGGTACTATAATATTCAAGCTTCACCATGTACTTGGTGATGGCTTCTCTTTGATAGGAGCTCTTCTTTCATGTCTCCAAAGAGCCGACGATCCTTCTCTTCCAGTGACATTTCCTTCTGTCACAACACAACCAATAATTTCGAGCGAAAATGGCGACAATGGCTTAATCAGGAATGTGCCTGAAATTGTGTCTTTAATATTTAATTCTGCTACAGATTTTTTTCAGAGCCTGAAAAGTAGTCTGGTTAAAAATCGACAAACGCCTATACGATCTGGCAGCATCGAAGTGGGGTATGGACCAGTGAGCATATCAACAATTAGGGGTGTCCGACGAGTCGAGCGGCTCGACTCGTCTGGTTAGTCGAGTCGACTCGGCTCGAACTCGGTGGGGTGATCGAGTTGAGTTCAATCAGGGGGAGGCTCGGCTTGTGTGCTTGTGAGCTTGGTGTGGCTTGAACTCGTAGGGACTTTTGGGTTAGTTTTATAAACCATGTGGGGCAGATATGTAAAATTGGACTTTTAAAAAACTTCAAAAAATGACATTTACCCCCTGACTTAAAAATAGTATAACACGATTTTCTCCCCCAAATTAGTTTCCCCCAAATCGCAAAAGAACCCTAAATCCCTCCACCATGAATCAGGCAATTCCATCCCGCCGTGTTGCCGTCATCGATCGAAAAACCAGTAGGAGAAACAACAACTCCATCCCGCAAACATTGAAACGATTTCTTCACCCCCAAATTGACGCAAACTGTATACCCCCAAATCAACTTATACCCTCAAATCTTTAGTCCACCGTGAAAGCGACGCCCCTAATCACTTGTTCTTGCCGTCGCTGGTCAGAAATTGAAGGAAGAATTTGGTGAGTTAACCATTTTTGTTAAATTATTTCATGAGCTGGGAAGAATTTTCAATGTGTATCAGTGAGCTTTGATGCCATTTTCGTTTTCTTGAATGTTTCATTTCTAACGCATTAATGAATTGGGTCAATGCTAAGTGCTAACAGTTCTTCATTTTCTGTTTCAGGAGAGAAGCTCTGGTTGTTTGAACAACTTTTAGAGCAAGTTGTATTTGTCACTGCTAGCTGCCCCTATCAAGTGAGAAATCTTCAGGTGAGGCATGAGTACATGATATGCAACATGTTATTTGGATGGGTTTTACATTTCATTGTTAATCCTAAACAGGATTGAATGTATTGAATAGGACCAGTGAGATGTGTTTCTACTTTTTGGTTTCCTTTAAATGGCACAGACTGTGATCGTAGATTTTTGGTATTTAATAGATAAAAGAAGCATATTAATTTACAGTATTAATGATATAATATTTTACAAATTTTTAGAGAAGATTTTAGATCCATGTATAAAATGTTTGAGCAAGCCTTCAAAATGGTTGCTCAAAAAGCTCATTCAAATGATATGTTCAGAGTTATGGGTCCAAAAAATATTCTTTTGAAATGGTGCAAAAGCAGTTCACATTGACTAGTAGGGGGTAGAACAACTAAATATTACCAACAGAATATCACTATCATTTGCAAGGACACCTTGGTATATATGTGATAAATATATACTCATTCAATTTATTTATACTGAATAAATAATCAAATAATGCATGTTTGTACAAAAAATTGCTATTCTGAAAATATTGTGTTAGCAAGAAAATAATGAACCATATTCATAGGCTACCAAACATCATATATTGAAACAAGGTAAAGCCTATTATCTTGACTAGCCCAATTCGCAAAAATGGAAAGAGGCAGCCTACAAGGTAGTAACGGAAATATTCAAAGAGCAAAAGAGGCAACCTACATTTGGTTTATGTAAGTTAATTTAATTTAATTTTGCTTCATGTCACTTTTATTTTCTTGAGTGTTGATTTGGTTTTTCAATTGTAGGAATGACCTCGGATGATACTTCCTCAAGCACGCCTACATTGGATGACGTCGACAATTGTGTTACAATCAGAGCAGTTGATCAGCGTAACGTTTATGCAAGCATAGGTGGTACGGAAGCAAGTGTGAGTAGCCCCGAAAATGTTGTGGACAATGACAACCACTACAGAGGAAGAAGAGAGCCAACACATTAGCAGTGTGGTCAGAATTTAGGGAGGTGGTTCTCCTTGGGGGTACAAAGAAAGGGGAGTGCATTCACTATAAAACCAAGGTGAGAATGACTGCCACTGGAAGCATGACCAATTCAATAGACATTTGAAGAGGTGTGCGAAGAGAAAAGATTCCTTAAGGTAACAACAAATAAATTTTGCTTCTAGTTCTCAGGGTACCAATACTATCCTTCATGCTCTACGAGGCCAATTCAATATGTTTAAGATGAGGGAGTTGATTGCACATTGGGTGCTGATGCATGAGCATCCATTTTCTATTGTGGAGGAAGAGGGGTTGAACAATATGTTGAAGTATAGGATTCCTGAATGGAGTTTGATTTCCCGTATTCCTTGCAAGAATGATTGTATGAAAGTGTTTGATAATGAGAGGCATAAGTTGAAGACCATATTGAAGGGTGTTAGGAAGATAAGTCTGACCACAGATCTATGGAGTTCAGGCAATTAGAAGATGGAATACATGGTGTTTACTGGGCATTAGATTGATGAAAATTGGAAGTTGAATAGACAGGTCTTGAACTTCGTTCATTTCCCTCCTCTCTATACTGGTGTTGCCATTTCTGATGCCATATTCAAGTGTTTGATGGAGTGGGGAATTGAAGCAAAAGTCCACACGATCTCAATGGACAATGCTGCACCTAATGATGTGGCAGTCAAGGTCTTAAAGGAAAATTTCGAAGCTACGGGGAAGCTCATGTGTGGGGGAAAGTTGTTACATGTTAGGCGTTGTGCACACATCCTGGATCTTGTTGTTCAAGATGGTCTTTATCAAATTAGACACATTATTCAGGACATCCGTGACAACGTGGTATATATAAATTCATCGAAGAGTAGGCTAAAGGTGTTTTCAAAGATTGTTTTTCAGTAAAGATTGCCGTTTCGCAAGCTTATTCTTGATTGCAAAACACAATGGAATTCAACATATGATATGTTGGCAACTGCAATCAAGTTTAGACGTGTTTTCTCTAGTTTGGAGGAGAGGGATATCAGTTATCAGTATTGTCCCAAGGAGGAGGATTGGGACAAAGTAAAGAAAGTTTGTGAAATTTTAAAGGTGTTCAGTGGTGCGGCCAATCTCATATCGGGGAGTGATTATCCGACATCAAACTTGTTTCTAAAACAAGTTTGTTCAATCAAGATTATGTTGGATAATAAGAGTGAACATGAAGATGAATTTATAAGGACCATGGTTAGGAAAATGAAGCAAAAGTTTGACAAATATTGGGAGGAATGTAATTTGCTGATGGCTATGGCTACTGTATTGGACCCTAGACTGAAGATGAGGGTGATTCAATAGGCGTTCCCTAAGATGTATCTTAAGGCTGAAGTGCTAGCAAATACTGTTAGTGTTCGGGATGCCTTGTATGAGGTCTATGGGGCGTATGTCGATGCCAGTAGAGCATTGACTGCTGCTCGCACTTCTACATCTGTAGGGGATGGACTTCGGGTAGTTGGTGAGGGGTCGGGGGTAGCAGTTGACAGGCCAAAGGTTTGAGATAATTTTAGTGAGTTTCTGGATGTGGTCGAGATGGTTGAGCAAACTAAATCAGAGTTAGATTGTTATTGGGAGAGGGGTGTAATAAATGTGTGGGGGATCCTGCGGTGTTTGATGCTTTGACATGATGGAAGGCAAATGCAACGAAGTTCCCTATTTTATCTGCCATGGTTCATGACATATTAGCTATCCCTATCACTACGGTTGCTTTTGAGTCTGCTTTCAGAGTCGAGAGTAGGGTTATTGATACTTATCGATCTTTGTTGGCTCCCAATGATAAGAGCTTGAAAATAAACATTTACTTAGTGGTTTATGGGGATTATTTGTGAGAAATTAGGCTTAATTTGGTAAAGTTGCTTGATATTTTCATAATTGTCTTTTATGGGATCACGGTTGTGTTTGAGTGTTTTGCAGGTTATTAGTGCTAAATATTATACTCAAATGAAGAGTCATATCAACAATGGAATGAGTAACAAGTAGAAACAAATGGATCAAGAATCGGAGTTGAATTAAAGAAGTTATGGAGCTTTGAAGTAAAGAGGAGATTCTAGATTATGCTATAGTTTGAGCATGCTTCAGTGTTTTGACAATATCTTGAGCTATAGACCTCGGATCAAGACTATTCTTTTACTGTTGGAAATCTAATTCAAAGGGCTACATTTCATATGTTTACCACTTCTCCAGATTCCATCGTTATCATGCTAAAAATTTTAATCTCTGGAGTGTTGAGGAATGATGCGGGATTTGGACTAAAGAAGAAGAGTTATCACTGTGCTTCAGCACTGTGTTGCAACATACTTTGTCTAGAATCGACCGTGCTGTAGCACAGTGCTAGGGTACAGTCATGATAGTTAGGAATTTTTCTTCCGTTTTTTATTGGGAAAATAAGGTTAAGAGTCCTAAACTAAATATAATTGAGGAAAATAAAACCCTAACCCTTGTGGGATATAAATAAAAGTCTCTTAGCATTATTTTGGGAATTATTTGAGGGGAGAATAAGAGAAGAAAAACCTGTAGAGAAGAAAAGTGTCAGAATTTCTGGAGCTTTGATTCACAATATAGGGAAGTTCTTCTTGTTTCTTTCTTATAAACTTATGTTGATTATTTTAATAAAGATGATTGTTTCTTTCATATTTATTATGAACTAACTTTATTTTTCTAGGGCTAAGATGCAGCCCAATCTTTTGATTATGTGTTGATTTATTAATATTGATTTTTATTAAGATTTCTTCATAAGTTTTATTATTATGCTTAATGCTTTTGATTCTTAAGGGCCCAAGAATTGAATGAACTAATGGACTAGGTTGAGATCGAGAAATGATACTTAGTTGTTCTACGATAGTAAAACCATAGGTTGAGTAAACGCTAGAGATAGGTTACTACGACTTATGAAGTTTTGGTAAACTCTATAGAGCGTAATGATCTTCAATTGCTTAAATCTGATTAGAGATCATTCCGGTTAGTAATTAGGGGATAATTTGATAATTGTTCGAGAGAAGGTTATTGAAAATTTAGGGAGTTTGACCTATAGGAAGAGCTTAATAAAATTAGTATAAGTGATCAATATATATGAATAAGAGTTGGTGTGAAATCTATGTCCTAGGTCTAATCATCTTGCTCTAAACCCAAAGATTTATTTTAGTTGTTTTCTTTTTAATTTCAATTGTTAATTTTATTTAATTTAGGTTTTCCTTGATAAAATTTGGATTGATCAAATAGTAATAGGATAGTTTAATTGGTAATTGATAATAGTAATTCCATTGGGTTCGACATCCGTATGTATACACTTTAATACTTGCACGATTTCGTATACACTTTAATACTTGCACGATTTCGTACACTTGTGAAAATCCACAACACTCGACACTGTGGAGATGCTTTTATGTGGATGCAATTGGTGTCGGACATTGAATGGGGTGAAGAAAGGGTGCAAAGTAAGTTATATTGAATATTCTTTTGATTAAATTCAATAATTACATTATATTTATACTAACTAAATTCAATTACTCCTTCTATGTCATTTTCAGGAAGAGGAGCAACTGTTGGAGATCACACTTCCTATCTCGTAAGTTCCTGGGATTCAGTACATGTTTGGCTATGGTAGGAGGCACATGCAAGTAAAAGTTTGATTCATTTCGATTTTGTTGCATGATTATTCATTTTAGTTACCTAAAAAGATACTTACTAAATTTAACATTTTTTGCAGCCGGGGGAAAATGGTGGTTTCAGTACAAGACAGCCCGTCTGTAGACGACAACCACCTATATTTTGATTGTTGGACAGTTGTTTTTTTCATTTCCTGGACTGTATTTTTTTGTTCATTTTCTAGACTATATTTTGATGAAAACTTGGTACACTTGTATTTTGTTGTATAGTTATCATGGTTAATATGATGCAAGCTATGCAGTAGGTATTAATTGATGCAAATTTGTGGATTTAAATAGGTTTTGGAGGGAAAAATAAACTGCAGGGTTGGAATTTGCCTCGGTCAAACTTGCCTTGAGGAGCTGGGCTCGAGTATAGGCTTGCGAGCTCATTAACAAGTCAAGCTCGCGAGCCAGCTCGAGCTCGACTAGAACT